AAGTGAAAACCTCGACCCCAGACTCGACTTTTGTATTAGTCAAAATTATAAAACAAAAAATTTAGTTGATGTGGAATTTAAGCATAATTTTTTTTAATTTTTCTGAATTAAGAATGTATCTAAGTTTGTGAGACCTATAAATAATATGTTCAGTAATATCTTTTACTCTATATGACTTGCACTGCAAATAAAAAAATTAATTTTTATATGCAATAAAATGTTTCAACGACCGCCATATAAAATGCTACTCTTGCTAAGACTATGATTCCGATTAGGGTAAATAGCGACTTTCATATCTAAGCTAAGGGGTAATTTCATGGTCAATACCATACACATTCCCCCTATCTCACTCTCAGTATCCTAACCGCGAAAATAAGAAAATCACTATTTACGTCATTCCACTTATGAAAATGATCACCAAAATACATTCGAATTCAAAAAATCAAACACCACCAGAGCCAAATAGTGATCCACAGAGGAAAATTGTAAACTTCAAAACAAAAACGCATCAGTATTTTTCAAGCAAAAAAAAAAAAAAAAAAGCGTACAATTTGATCCGACACTACCAACGACGAGAGGATGACAGATTTTCACCTTTCATCCTTCACCGGCAGCAGCACCATTATCACATATGGTTATAATCATCAGCTCATCAAAAATATAAAATCGCCACTAACTTAAGAGTAACTTCGACCACAACTTTGAGAGACATTTGAGGATAGAGACGACAGAGCAGAAAGGGAGTCGAGACCTTATTTCCATTTTGCCCAAAAACATCCATTTATTATATGGTCCTTTTTCTTACTTTAACCACCCCTCAGAAGATCTTGAACAGCAGGCCACCGTGAGTGGCGAAGAAAGGTGCAAAGACGAGGGACTCAACTGCCATGAGCTTGATGAGGATGTTCAGAGACGGGCCTGAAGTGTCCTTAAGTGGGTCCCCAATTGTGTCGCCTATCACGGCTGCTTTGTGTGGTTCTGACCCCTTTGGACCAAGGGTTCTTGCATGCTCAGAAGCACCAGCCTACAGTAGGAAAATTTAAATTTAGAGAGAGAGAGAGAGAGAGAGAGAATATAGGTGGAGACTGGAGATTTACCTCAATATATTTCTTTGCATTGTCCCAGGCACCACCAGTGTTTGATGCAGAAATTGCAATCTGTAATAATATATGAAGTTCATTATCTTCAATATTATCAATATAATTAAATAATAACAATCTTCTCTTCTACATTACATCAACTTTAATTCACTATCCATTCACTCACATATTTTAACCTCCTATCACTTTCAATCATACTTTTAGTCTTTTACATCACATCAATGTTAATCATTACATTTTAAATCCTCTCTTAATATAATTTGAAAACGTGCTGAGCCTAAATGGCTGTTTCGCACGCTTCGGAAGTTTACTTGGCAACATTCTTATATGCCGTGTAAATCCTCCAACTCCAAATTCTTATTTTATAAATTACATCTTAGGATTCTTATCTTGTCGTGTAAACCAAAATAAAAAAATTTAGCTTTATATATTATTTTATTTATATAATTAATGTAAACAATAACTTTTTATATAGTTTAAATTAAAAAAATACTATAATTTTACAAAAAATATATAGCCACTTGCATATTATATATTTTCAATCCAACTATAAATAAATTATTTATATCTTTTTAGAATATCTATAAAAATACATTGAAATAGTTATAGAATATTATATGATCTTTCTAATATATTTTAAAGAGTTGAAATAGTTATACAACAACATGTTTTTTTCTATTATTTTATGTTTTATATTTTTTTTAAACAACCCGTGTAGTACACGGGTGTCGTACTAGTATTATTTAAATACAAACTCAAAATCTCACTCAATCAACTTTATTAATATTAACTCACCTTAGGTCCAATTTTGAACGAATTTTACTAGTTTTTACTATCACGCCCTTAGTATTTCAAATGACAACTTCTGTTTTTGACTCAACTAGTATTCTAAAGGCAAGGAAAATCGACTTCGAAATTCGAACAGAACACTTGAGTTGAGCCCCTAATGTTTACGAATGAAATTAGAGGACATACCTGCACACCGGAAACAAGGGACCCGGCAAGAACACCGGACAGAGTCTCGACGCCAAAAAACGTCCCGACAATCAGGGGAGTCAGCATGACAAGGGCGCCAGGCGGGATCATCTCCTTAATGGAAGCATCGGTCGAGATCTTCACACAGGTAGCATAATCGGGCTTGGCATGACCCTCCATGAGGCCCGGGATTGTGTTGAACTGCCTGCGGACTTCCTCCACCATTTTTAGGGCGGCACTACCCACACTCTTCATGGTCATGGCCGAGAACCAGTACGGAAGCATAGCGCCGACGATTAAACCGATGAAGACTTTAGGGGTCAGAACATCGACAGTCGAGATTTCCGCACGGCTGACAAAGGCGCCAAATAGGGCCAACGAGACGAGAGCGGCAGATCCAATGGCAAAACCCTGAAAGAAAGCAAATGCTCAAGATTAGAAAAAGAGACGTGTAACGAAAAATGCTCAAGCTTTTTGCTTCTTCTCACAATTCTGGTCTAACCTTTATGTTTTGCAGTTTGATCATTTCATTTTTTTCTATTTTTTTTTTTTCGCTTTATGGAATTTTACTTGGAGAATCTTGGAGAAACATAAAAATTATGCTACTCATTTATTTTCAATATTTTCCACCAACCACTTCTTAGTCATTTAGAAAAAGATCATACTATCAATATTATTATAGATTTTCATAAGTTTCAAATTTCTTTCACTCATAACACTAAATACAAATCATACTCAATCCTTACAGGACTATTATTACATCAAATGATTCTAATGCCAACGTATCCGTTCAAATTTTCAAGAATTTTTCATTCTTCTTCTCTATTAAATTTTCCATCAATACTCTCCATCCTTGGATGGAAAATTTTTCAATTTTGGTCATTTCTACAAATTAGTTGAAGCTATCAGAAAGAAAAAAAATACAGAAAAAAAAAAGGTAAAACAAAGAGATTGGAAGTTATACTGTTGCAGTATAGACAAAAAAAACAAAGAAAGAAAAAAAACAATGCACATTAAAGAATCAAATTGGAGAAAAGAAAATTAAAAACTACTAAGCCAAGACAAGACTAATGTGCAATACCTTTCCAATAGCAGCGGTGGTATTGCCAGCAGCATCAAGGGCATCAGTTCTCTCACGAATCCTGTGACTCATACCGGCCATCTCGGCAATACCTCCGGCGTTGTCACTGATTGGGCCATAAGCATCAATCGCCAAACCAGTGGCAATAGTGCTCAGCATTCCCAGGGCAGCCACTGCAATACCGTACATGGCAGCAAAGGAGAAGCTGACAAAAATGCTAATTGCAATGGCAAAAATGGGAATTATCACAGATTTGTATCCCAAGGCGAGGCCAAATATAACATTGGTGGCAGCACCAGTTCTGCAGGAGTCAGCAACATCTTGCACAGGGCTGCATACAGAAATTCATAACGTTAGGAGGGAAAACGGAAAAAACAAAATAACATAAAATGAAAGTTCTATGAGCACACCTGTAAGCATTGCTGGTGTAATATTCAGTCACAAATCCTATGATGAGTCCAGCCCAGAGTCCAACACAAACACAGAGAAATAGTTGCCTGTTATGGGATGTCCGAGTTAGTAATATGACTAACAGGATTTAGCACATGTTTTCGATAGCAGAACGTAATAAAATTTGGGCTTTGTGGCATGTAATGATTTAGATAATAACAGATTATACATATATCCATTTTGAGCGCGCTGAACAAATCCTTACCAGTTCTTGACAACTTTTTGAGTACCGAAATTGAAAATCGTAAAAGATGACGGCAGGCAAGTCCACGTGACAATTGCGATTCCCACTGTCATAAGAACAGTGGAAATAATGAGCTGCTTCTTCAGTGCTGGTTCGATTTCCTTGACAGCCTTGATCTCAAAAAAGTCGGTTGCAAAAAGAGTGGTGATCAAGCAGACCAGAATTCCCATGGAGCTAATGAGCAACGGATAACACATTGCCGTGAAGTCATGAGTCAACCCGAAAGAAGAAATGGAGGCCACAACAAGAGCCGCACACGATGACTCAGCATACGAACCAAACAGATCGGATCCCATACCAGCAATATCCCCGACATTGTCACCAACATTGTCAGCAATCACCTGCATAAAAAAAAAAGTGGCCATCATCAATTGCTAAATAATAAAGAAAATCCCGTCTAAATAGAATAATTTACTTCAATATCTTTACTAACTCACAGCGGGATTCCTGGGGTCATCTTCCGGAATGTTCCTTTCGACCTTCCCAACAAGATCGGCGCCAACATCAGCCGCCTTGGTGTAAATGCCGCCACCAACCCTCCCGAACAAGGCCATAGAGGACCCACCAAGACCGTAACCAGTAATCGCCTCGAACAGCCCTTCCCAGTCATTACCATAGTAGAGCTTGAACAAATTAATGGCAATGTAAAGGACCAACAGGCCATTTGCTGCAAGGAGAAACCCCATGACTGCACCCGATCTAAATGCCGTAATAAAAGCTTTCCCGACGCCTTTTCTGGCTTCCAATGTTGTCCTCGCATTAGCATATGTCGCGATTTTCATCCCAAGAAAACCGGAGACGACGGAAGTCACAGCTCCGAGCAAGAAGGATACGGTGCTGAAGACTGCTGTTGCAAGGGCAGGCTTGCACAGCTTCTCCTTGTCGTATGTGCATGGCTGGCTCTTTGTGCTGAAACCCTCAACTGAGCCCAGGAATAGGAAGATGAGGACTGCGAAAGCAACCATGAAAATCCCCACATATTGGTACTCGGTGAACAAGAAGGATGTTGCACCTGCCAGGGAAACATATAGTTTATCTCAGCCACAGGAAGGTAGAAATATTGAGTTGATGAGGACGATGCCCGTCAAAACGAATGAAATATACACCTAGTTTTGCTCATCAACAATAGGAATTGCATCGTGTACGAATGTGGAAGAGAACATACACCCAGTTTTGGACATCAACAGTAGGAATTGCATCATGTACTATACGATATTCATCAGCATATGCCGACTTTGCATTGCCCTTTTATTAAATAGGGGTGTTGCGATAGGAAGTACGTGTTAATTGTACTAGATGAGTATGAATGACTTAGACCCTCAAGGGATGTGCAAATGCCAAGTATGTGAAACATAGCATAAAAGCATATAACATTTAGAAAACATGAAATTACAGATGAATCAGAACCTAAACTAGTAGCATGAAAAACAGAGGAATTATAGGACACATTTGATTTCCAGAGACAGAGAGAGACTTGTTTTGTGACCAGTAGAATTATTCAAAAGCTACAAGCAATAAAGAATATACTCAAGCACATGTGATGATATGAATTAATTATAGATATAAAGAAAACAAGATATATACTTAAAAAAGAGAGCTAAATCAACTTCCCCAGTCGTTCCTTAGAAAAGAAGCACCATATTTTTATAATCTTTACCCATATCTAGGTAAGAATAAAAAAGGAAAAATCAAATAAATAATAGTAGACATTTGCATATTATCTGTCACCACTTGTAGGTGCCATGTCATATAAGCATCAGTTTACTCCAACCACATTACTCCTACCTTCTTACACTTGTGAGCAAAAAACCCTAAACCACCTATTGGCCGCCATAAAACTCAACAATAAGAATTACATACATATACATCAAAATATACAGAAGAGTGTGCATATCAAAAAGGAACTAGCGATAAAGAAACTCCCCGACAAAACACAAATCCCTTCGCCACCTACATTCGTAGGAATCACATATCTCACTCACTAAACTTACACGTTGATTGGTAAAGGGAAAATTAGAGCTTCGATACTCAATTTAAAAAAAAAAGAAAACAACAACAACATCAACAACAACGGAAGTAGTCCGATAATTATCGATTACTGGTCTGATATAAAGATAAATAAGGTAACACTCAAAAAGATTACCCTTTTAAGGTAAGAATCCAGCGACCAAATCTAACATTATGCAGTAAGTTTTCTATTTTATTAAACCGCTTCGACTCAGTCAGCTGCAAGTTCATCTACCAGCTCAGCTCACACACACACACTAACAATCTTTGGAAACTTGTCTGCTCAAAAGTGTAATACTTTTCTCAAATTCACACCCCCCCCCCTGCGTAAAAGTGAGTATTGCCCTCAATCATTTTGAAGAAATTACGCTCGCTCAGCAAACCAAACCTCAAATTATATGCCTTTCATACACACAGAGCAAGTATAAACACAAAACCACATAATATCAAGCTAAAAAAATCAGATCTAGCGAGATCCGGATCTAATTTTTACCCTCGGAAATGGCGTTCTGTATTTCGGCACACTTAACGACGACGTTCTGGTCGCTGATGCCGTCCTCTTCCTCTATCAGGTAGTCGCCGTACCCATTCTTCCCGTTCTTTGCAGCCGACGCGCCGCCGCCCGCCTCCGGCGAGAGCTTGACCTTGGACACGAGGAACCACTGCACGAGCGAGAAGACGATGCCGATAACGGCGCACACCGGAATCACGATCTCTGCACCCAGATCTGGCAGCAACGCCATTTTCTCACAGAAAATGAAAAAACTACAAAAAGAGAAATTAGTAAAAGAAAAGGAAAATGAAAGGGAAAAAAAATGGGTGAGAGTTTGAAAGCAAGTTCAGCTGGAAGCCGGGAAATGGAAGAGGTGTGAAGAGGTGACTGAGGGGTAATATTTATAGAAGAAAAAAAAATATAATGTGAGAAATATTCCTAGGATAAAAATGGGATATTATACAGTGAAAGCAAGTCCACTGGAAGTGGATGTGGACCGGCGGTTGCCGTTTGTTCGGTGGAGTCTACTTAAATGAAACTAATTTTCAAATTTATCCAAATCCTAAAGAATTAAAATTATACAATTTTAAATATGTTACTATAGTTTGAGATATATAATTTAAGATATGCTTAGACATTCGTTAATTTCTAAACAACATGATAGATAGTTATGTGAGGTTGACGTATTTATACAAAATACTTCATTTTTTAAGTTATTTATTTAAAAACAAAAAAAGATCGATGATTTTAAAATTATACGTAGTTTACAATTCTTTTTATGAGTCCTGGTATATTTTACATATAGTTATTTATAAAATTTAATGTTTGTACAATTTAAAAAATTACCTTTAAGTTGTAAACTAATAATAAATTTTATATTGATTATAACACAAACATATATAATTATATATAAAATGTAAATATACCAACGTGCTCATATCTTTGAAATTTTAAAATATATTATATATTCGTCTTTGCATTAGTGATTCGTAGATTATTCACAATAATATGTTTAAGCTATTTAGATGGTCCTCTCATTATTATGTTCTTAGTTAAGTTATGTTGTGAGCTAGGTAGCCTTGAGTTGAATTGATTTATTATATTTCTTCAAACAAAAGTCTATTCTGAGAGGTCATTTTTTCTCAATTGTTATATTTTTAAAATTTAATATTTAACAAAAGTGGTCTGCCTTTTGATTTTATCTAATACGTATTTTTCTTATTTCCTCTTCTTATTGATATGCACTATTATTACTACTAATACTATTATTATTATTAATACAGTCCCTTGCGATGCACGGAGGTTTATTATCTTCATCCTTTTTATAAAATAATGTTCAGTTAAAATTCAAACTACTTACTAAAGGAAATATCATGCCATTAATAATAAATAAATTAATAAATACAATGATAATAAAATCTATATTTTATTAAACACTTCCTTATATACAACATTCATGGTTTGATTCTTTGGCACGTCATCATCGCCACAAATTAGGACTTTCAAACCCATTTCTGTTTGTGACACGGGAGACAGCAACATACAATTGGTCATGACTAAACACTGGTTTTTTATGAAATAAGCGCACATGTGATAATGATTGTTTCTGGCTTTTATTTATAGTCATGTTGTAAGAAAACATAATGAGAAACAATCAAACCAATAACATCTACAAAAATATAAGAAAATGCATCATATTGAAATGTATAACATATAAAATAGTTTATTATAGATTTTAAATTAAAAAAAATCGAAATAAGAAATAAACAAAAAAATTATAACGTACCAAACAACATGACTTCATCAATGTTACGAACATCCATTAAAGTTAGAAATAGA